GGCGGGATGGGGGGAGGCGGTGTCGAGCGCATCGACCCTTGCCTTTTCTTGGGAAAAAGGCGGGAGCCCTCCCGGCCATGTCACGCAGGAGTTTAAACAGAAACTATAGAGACAACTTGGGGACGACGCAAAACATTCCGCGAACCACCGAGACGACCGAGGTTGTGACGTCCCTTTGCCACTCTCGCCGGGTGCGCCAGCTGTACCTCTCGCGGTCCCCTATGACAGGACAGGTTCCCGCGGGGCATAAGCTTGCTTCCCTAAGGGGCTGTCACCACCCTTCGGGGTGTATCCTTACCGAGCTACTGACCCACGTGCAAAAAATTTTACATGCAGTTGCAGAGGTGGGTTATCCGAGGGCGTTTGCTCGCTCGCTGTAGTATAGGTACGCACGATTAAAACGCCTATTGAACCCGGACGTTGTTCATTCCTTAGGGCGTTGATATCCTAAGTACGAAGCGTATGCCGATCGACAAGGATGGTCTCAACCAAGCGTGAAACCTCCTGGTCCCTTCAAACACGAGTCAAAAGAAAGTTATAACAATCACACATAGTTATACCAAAAGGAACCGTACTTAGTCGATAGGGATGTATATCCCATCTGCAATGATAATCGAAAGAATCAAAATCATCATTAGATACCCAAGATCAAAATGTAACTCGACCACTCCGGTTCGATCTCCACAAAAATCATACAGCCGCCAACGAGAAGTTGGCTTTAGACAATAACATATATGCAACCGACATGGTAGTCGTACAACCTTAGTTTTGACTTGATGAGACGTGTCACCAAAGTTATTCATTCCACCAACCGCCGATCTAAGATTTGACACACATGCCTGTTTTCATCCGTTTCTAATATTTTTGGATGACAAGTTGTTTTGTGAATGATTCTTCATCAAGGGCATTACTTGAAGTGTTACATGCCCTCACTCCAGGAAGTGGTCTGGGGTACTCCTCCTCCTCGCCCGAGCACAAGACTCGGATCTCAGAAGTCGGGCCATCTCCACCGAATCGGCAAAGTACCTCCCCGTAGAACGGTCCACTCTGGATCGATAAACAGGATCGGCTCCTAAAGCAATGAATCCCCGCCCCAGATACTTCCTTGAGAGAGAGGATGTATCCACTACAAGTAGCTTTCAATTATTCTTATCTCTCCTGAGTTCAGGGTAACTTGGACGAAAAGAAGACAGAGGAGATAAATAATGAAAATCATTTGACAGGTATAGGCAGATAAGGTCATTCGGGATAAAACAGGTAATCCTCAGGAAAAAACTAAGTCCATTTGACCTTATCTGCTTTATTTTATTCAAATTCGTTTTACGATGCGCATTAAATTCACATTTTCAAAACAACCAACCCTTCTTGGCATGCAGGCAAGTGAGAAGTCAAAAGAAGACACTCATTTTTCTTTTCTCAGATAGGCATAATCAATCTCCTTTGCAAGCATCCTTCTACCTACATGCACAACACGCAGAGACAACAAGTTCGAAAGAAGATAAGCAAATTCCCACTACTCACGTCAGACCCACCTTTTCACTCATGCATGACGTCCACAACCCCATTAACCTTTTCTCTTGAACATTCAAAGCAAAAGGGTCAAGCAATGTGTAGGTGCACACAGGTGTGAAGGGAGTCTGAGTCGTCCACTGACAGACCTTGAGTGAATTGGTGTCGAACACACCATGGCTCACTCAAGAAAGTCAAGTAACATATACGCGTCGCCGAGGAAACCGCAGTCCGAGGGTAAGTCTTGGGCCAACCGCTAGTCTCAATTTACAATTGACTCGCACGCCCTATTCGCGGTAGTCCCAAGTGTGAAGGTGGCGAGCCGCACTCGTCCCAGAAAAACACTAAGTCTGGTACCACGTCAGTCCCAACTGGTCCCAAGTGGTCCCAGATGGTCCCACACGGTTTCAGGTGGTCCCATGTTGTCAAACACTTCATCGAATGACTATTGAGTCGAGAACCGTTTCCGCCACACTTCTAAAAAAAAATGAAACCGGTGTCGAATCTCAATACCGCATGCGTCGAGACTGCAGCAAATGACCGCCCGCGTCCCACGTCAGTCCCAACTGAACCCAGGAAATCCCAAGTAGTCCAGTTCCACTGCCGCAAGTGTTGGGTGGTCCCAACTACAAAACATTTATCTCATATGCCGCATAAAAAAAATAAATTCATCCGTCGCGCTCAGATTTCGTACCGTCGCATGCCGTCAACCGCCACCAGGTCACTTTGTTGCTGCCGTATACACCAACGGTAGCAAACCTTCATCAAGAAAAGCAGACGTCACGCCGCAACAAAAAACCTTCTGTGCCGTAAAAGAAACCTCGACTGCCACGCCACACGTCCCACCTTCGTGTCGCAATTCCATTGTCGTGTCGAACCCTCGTCAGAAAATGGCAGCGCGTCGTCGTGCCGTACCCCGTCAAAAAAAAACAGCAGCGCTTCGCCGTGCCCTACCACCGTAAAAAAATGGTAGCGCTTTGTCGTGCCGTACCACCGTAAAAACAAAACGGCAGCGTTTCGCCGCGCCGTACTGCCGTAAAAAAACGGGAGCGCTTTGCCGTGTTGTGCCACCATGAAAAAATGGCAGCGCTTCGCCGTGTCGTACCACTGAAAAAAAATGGCAGCGGTTCACCGCGTCGTACCACCGTAAAAAAAAACGGCAGCGCTTCGTCGCGTCGTACCACCGTAAAAAAAAACTGCAGCGCTTCGTCGTGTCGTACCACTGCAAAAAGACGGCGGCGCTCCGCTGCTCACCGTGAAAAATTTCGGCAGCACCTTCCCACAAAAGTGGGAAATCACTTTGTCGCAGGTCCGTCCTCCTGGTACTACCGCTCGCTGTTAAAAAATTTCGGCAGCATTTCCCCATTAAAGTCGAAAAATAGCCTGCCACAGGTCCGCTCCGCCGGTACCTGCCGTAGTCCAGTCCACTGACACCTCCACTAGCATGGCCCTGACGTCCGTTGTTGCCGCACAAAATCCTCCGTCAAATTAATAAAATATGGGCCCTGGACAAAATCCAGGCCCAAAGTATACTCCCGTCGTGCCGCCTTGGTCCCACAGAGTCCCGAGTGCCATTCCACCGGACCGGCACCAGCCAGAGGGAAGTGGAGCAGAGTGCTCCCTACCCCGGCTATGGCTGCCCTGCTCCTCTCGCGCTCCACTGCAGACCTCCAGCCTCCTCTCACGTTGCCTCTGGCAGCTCCTCCAGCAGCCTAGCAACACTCAAGTGTGCTTGTCACACAGTGGAAACACGAGTGCTTTCTGTGTGGCAGTTGGGGACAGCTGCCTATTTTATAGCGGTTGAGGGTTGGACGTCACTCCAGCCCCCAGGCAAAATCGCAGGCTCACTGTGAGCCCTTGATCTGGCCAAGATCAAAGGCTAATTGTGGTCGCACGGCAGCCACAACCTTAGTGGGGCAGTTTTTCTTTAACTGTTTCCTTTTTCTTTTTTTTATCTCAGCTATCTCGGATTTTCACGAGATAGCTGAGTTTTTGCCATTTCCAGAACTGTTTTTCTTGTATTTTTCTGATAAGGGGTTGGAGAGATACAACCCCTTTCAGTTTGATGTATCTGGACCCATTTTCCAGGGCAGATAC